AGTAACTGCAGCTACATACTATTAACATTCCTTTCCTTTGTTAATGCTACCCCCTCCCCCCCCCCCCTTTGATGCTGCTAATCCTGCATAATGCACGGGCATAGTATTGATTTGGAACCCCCCCCCTGCCCACCTCCTACGCATTTTCCATATGCTGAATTCCTCTTGATATGCAAATTATTTTGTTTAGGCGCTCTTCTTCCCACCTCCCCCCCTCTAACCCAGCTTAAATATACGCTCCAAGCTTGGTGGTGTTTCATTCTTCGCCTGAGGACGGCTGCTTGCGTTGTGGCCGAAACGTCATGAGAATTGTTTTAATATGTTTTATTTTTATTATTTTATTACTTCCCTTCTACGTGACTTTACCGAAAGAACCAAGAAGATGAATATATTCATTGTCTTTGAAACTGATTGGTCCACACCATAGATAGCAGAGACAGCTGACCACAAGTGTAATAAAAGACTCCGTCAGGCACTGCTGGTCTCCGCTTGTCTTTTATTTAGGTTCTTCTCCGCACCCCCCACTGGCCTCTTCCACGGACCAGCATCATCTCGCGCGCGCCCCACGCACGCGTTTCCTCCTCAACTCCTCCACTCGTCCTCACACCCCGCTGTTCCTGACAAGGGACCAGCGTCTCCTCTCGCGTGCCCCGTACGCTCCTCTCGCGTGCCCCGCACGCTCCTCCGTCCGCTCCTTCGCCCGCTCCGCACACCGCTGGCCGACGGTGTGCCGAAGCCCCATCAGCCACGTGGCTGATGGCGCGGCGGCCACCCAACGTGTTCCCGCTTCTTCACTCCATCAACTGGCCCCGATCTCTTCCGGGCTCCCCTCTATAACCTCTCTCCCACGTGACCCTGACTCCTCCCTTCCGGATCGTCAGATCCGGCCTTCCCATACTGCCCTGCTGGCTCCATCTCCATTCACCTCGCTTCCCATTGGAGCCGAGGTGAACGGCGGCCCCTCTCACACGCCCCCCATACCGGGCTCCGCCCCCAATACCCCGGGTCATGTGATTGGGCCAGAGTCCAGCAGCAACCCTATTTACGCTCACATTACACAAGTATTGTAGTTAATACAGTACGGGATAGACCCGTGTGATGTAAGAATCCTGTACGGGATAGACCCGTGTGATGTAATAAAAAAGGAAAAAGTTTAAAAAGTTTAGCTGGAAGCATATTATATTTTTTTGCGACCTAGAATTGTAATGTATTACTTACGGTTAGTAGCTCAGCTTATTGAGAGTATATTTAGCATACTGATGATACTATGTAGTTTATACTTTAGCTTTTTACGTGGTTGTTTAGTTACTGCAGCTGCATACTATTAACATTCCTTCCCTTTATTAATGCTACCCCTACCCCCTCCCTTTGATGCTGCTAATCCTGCATAATGCATGGGCATAATCTGACTTTGAAAACCCCCCGCCCACCTCCTATGCATTTCACAAGTAGCACTAGTCGCATTCCTGCATTTCCCATAAATATGCCAAATTTCTCTTCATATGCAAATTCTTTTGTCAAGGCGCTCTTCCTCCTCCCTCCCAGCTTAAATAGATGCTCCAAGCTTAGGACGTGTAATTCAGACTCTGTCTTATAGACAGACATGTTCTTCACCTGAGGACGGCTGCTTGCGTTGTGGCCGAAACGTCGTGAGAATTATTTTATTATGTTTTATTTTTAGTATTTTATTACTTCCCTTCTACGTAACTTTACCGAAAGAACCAAAAAGATGCCCATACATTTTTAAGTCAATTTAGGGGCACCGCAATGGGACTTGTCCTGTGGGGGTTGGCCAATCTACTGGCACCGGGAAACCGCGGGACTTCCCACCTAGTGGCCCTTTGGATGAAAATCCGTTGTGCCAGGGGATCCCCCACTGGGACACTACATGCGTGTGCTGCGTTTGTACGTGTGCTCAGGGTTGGAGGGCACTGTTAAATTTAGTAGCCGCTGATTTTCGCACACCTGGCACTAATTTAAGGCTGTCAAATGGGGAGGAGCCACCAATTCAGACTGTCACCGCTGATATTGAATGTACATTGGACTTTTTTCGCACCATACGAAGCCAACCATGTTAATTGGAGGTGCAGGGGGTAGACAAAAAACTAAACACAACAAGCATTTCTAAAGAAATTAGTTCTCAATGTAGTATCGTGGTGTCGTGTACAGGAGTGTAGTATATAGTAGTGTAGTTTATGACAGTGTCGCGTATAGTAGTGTAGCAGTGTATAGGGTAGTAGTGCAGTGTATAGTCGTGTATAATCGTGTAGTGTAAAGTGTACTGTATAGTAGTGTAGTGCATAGCACATATAGCCAACCGTACTAACCGGATGTGGGTTTATAGTGCGGTTCACTAACCACTTTTTTCCGCAATTAAACATTTTCCAATCGCGGCTGCGTCACCAATCCACTTGCCCACGTTTTCACCTCTCCACTTCCCTCACATTATCTCACTTCCTATCCACCTCTACATTGGGTGCGCTTCTGCCTCCGAGCTTTCTCCACTGCTGGTCGATTCTTCGATTGTGTATCCTCCCTGGGGAATGTTCGTCTCACTCATGGGGCTCCGTGCCATGGTCATTCTCTTCTCTGGGCTCCTTGCAGGTGAGTACTGCTCTTGTTGTTTATATTACAACAACGACAGCATTGATGAGAGATTCCTTGTCTAAAATGGCAATTCGCTGCTTCTACAAAGTGCTCATTGGAAGGTGGTTAAGAATATTCATTTTTACCAGAAATTTAACTGACACTTATAAAATATGGTAGTGTAGAGTCGCGGAGTTCTGAACGATTTTTTTTTATGACAGACCACACATTTTTCTTGGATTGCCTTTAAAGCTATATGTTAATTGCTTAAGGAATTCAGATTTGGATGGTTAGATAACCTCTATTTTATAAAGTACCTTTCATACTAATGTATCTCAAAGCGCTGTGCATAAAAATAAAACTACACTCACAAGTACAGATACAATCTAAGCAAAATAGAAAGCTGATAATGACGATTATCAGCTTTCTAATCAATGACTACTCTCGAAATTCCAAAATGAAGGACCATTATAACAGCGAATGATACAATTGCAGAGTAATCCAATCAGACAACATAATTGGTATTTAAATGTTCAGTTGCAGGAAAAGCCTGCAGTACAAACAGGTGAGTTTTAAGACAGTGATTTAAAAAGTGAAACACTCAAAATCCCTAATGGACCGAGGAAGGGGATTCCAAAATCCTGAAGCCTGGCTGTAGAAGGCTCCGTGTCTCCCATATAACGTCAACAACAGCACCACAGGCTTGAGTTTGGAATCACGAGTAGACCAGAATCAGCTGATCTAAGTTTTCGCAGTGCTATATATATATATGGAATTATTAAAAAGGTTGCACGCAGAAGAATACCCGATTATGTGGGCAGTGATGTGAAGGAAACTGGCACTATTTGCACACACCTATGTAGGATGGAAAACAAGAAAATGTGAAGTGTGTTGTTGTTCAGACAAATGAAAAGAACCAGGAATAGAGCAAGACCTAACAGAGAATAGCTTGATGGCGATGTTATAAGAGATTGGTGCCATAAAGATGTGGCCACTACTTGAGAATACTGGCACTACAAAACAGAGAAGTGGAAACAACAAATTACGAAATATGCAGTGGACATTTACTATAGGTTATCTGCCCCATGGATCATGCTCATGATAAAACTTGAGCGGATTGGCCAGATATTTAAGGAGCCAGCCCTTTCACAGCCTTGTGCATGAGAAGTAGAATCTTAAAAGTCAAGTCCGTACTTTACAGGGTGCCAGTGCATGCACGAGAAAGAATATGGCCAATATGGTAATAGGTTTTTACATGTGAGCAGTACATTTATTTTGGAGTGTATTCTGAAATGTTGACTTTCTTGCCATGGCAAATTCTTTATATGTCAGAGGATGTAGGTTTCTACGTTAAAAAGTGAACCGGGTGTCAATCCTGTTTATTACTTTGTGTCTAGAAGGGGGCGTGCAAATTGATATCCAGACAGCGTATTTTTAAATCAGACCAGACCAATTCTATTACATTTGAATTAAGGACTGAATATCAGTTACATGTATGTAATCGATATATTTCAAGATACATCCTTTTAAAAGGTCGTATTTGTGATATTATTTGTGTTTTTTGTATTACTTTGGTCGATTGGATGTGAGCAACTATGCAATCATTATTGAGGTTATTTTCTAACTATCTCTTTAAGGTGGCCAAGACAGATAACTGCATCAGGAGTAGCGGAGTGTATGGCTGTGAGGTCTTCTTCATATTTGTGGATCGATAATTGCGTCATTGTACTTTGTACGGTTTGCTCATCACAATGATAGAATCTCAAAGAGTTTCAATTCTGGATATAAATAAAGGACACGAATGATGTATGTATGTTGAACTGCTTTCGCACCGCACGCAGCCAACCATGCTAATCAGAGGTTACACTCTTACAGGCTATTTGCACGTGGATGGTGTTATTGATGGATGGATGAATGAAGAGTCCCGATGGACTCATTCCCTGGAGCTACGAGCCTCTGCCAGTCATCGGCATGACTGTTCGGCGACGTGGCATTATTTTGAGATTCGTGCGCAAACCACAAATGTATTTATTTTCCACCACCAAAATGATTCGCTAAATAGGAGTCCTGTACCTGTGTCGGAATACTAGGGGCGTGGTGCCAAGACGACGGCAAGATGAGCTGCAGGTCGACGAAGCAAGGCTACCAGGTCTGCTCGCGAACCTCCGTGGAGGCCGTGGAGGGCGGCTCTGCGACGCTGCCCTGCACCTTCTCGTACCCGGATCACCTTCAGCCCAGCAGAGTTGCCGTGTCCTGGAGGTCGGACATGTTCCGCGACTCCACGGTTTTCCAGAGCACCGACGGATTCGTGCGCGAGTCTCTCAAGGGTCGCCTTTCTCAGAAGGGAGACCTGAACAAACACGACGCGTCCATTTTCATCCGCGACATCCGGATCGACGACTTCAAGGTGTATGTCTGCCAGGTGATGGTGTTCGACGACAAGGCGGGCTACGAGTTCCACGTGTCCGACAGGATCGAACTGAAGCTAGGTAACGTATTCAGCAGGCGCGACGGTATTTTTAAAATAAGGTTTGCAAGTATGCAATGTATTTCGGCCATGTTCATACATTGACAACTACACAATTGACATGTATACAATGTACTTTGGCCATGTTCATACATTGACAACTACACAATTGACATGTATACAATGTACTTTGGCCATGTTCATACATTGACAACTACACGATTGACATGTATACAATGTATTTTTGCCATGTTCATACATTGACAACTACACAATTGACATGTATACAATGTACTTTGGCCATGTTCATACATTTACAACTATACAATTGACATGTATACAATGTATTTTTGCCATGTTCATACGTTGATAACTATACCACAATTGAACACTTAATTGCAACATTTTTTATATTTTGCCACGTGATGAAGTCATGCTAATAAAAATATGTATGGTTAAACAACAACAACCGCCATTCATCACTAAGTGGCGGTGATGTCATAATGGTGCTTGCGCCAGGCTATATGCACTTTAAGGCCCCGTGAATTGTCACGTCAAATAACTCCCCTATGTCCCGCACGGACTGTGGGGAGGCCTTCATCCAGAAAGCGGATATGGCAGAGAAGGTCTGTGCTGTGCGACACCTGGGTACATTGGGATGTTACTGTGCGTGGAAAACGTGTTGTCCCCATAATTCACTCATCCACTCACCCACTCACCCACTCACCCACCTGCTCACTCATCCACTCTCTCATCTACTCGCCCACTCACTCACCTCAGGTGCACTTATGATTCGAACGGTTGGATAGGCACGGTGCAAAATAACTTCCTACATTCGTACATTATTTTGCAAAGTGATGGATACGTGACCTAGCTTCAGCTCGATCCAATCGGACACAGCAGCATGATTTCACATAGTTTGCTACTCATCATCGTCTTCGAACTTTATAATTTGTATTGTTTTTATATATTTAGCCGACCTGCCCCCCCCCCTCGTTAGGATCCACGGGAGGAGATGGAAAGGGGAGACCGGCTACACCACCACGTTCAACTTACCATAATTTGAAATAACCTCATTTTGCAAGCTGGGATTTCCAGCATTGAATCTCAATGTCAATATATGCAATAGTCAATGGTAATCAGTCTGATACCTTCACCATTATCTCTGGTATTCCAGAAGGTTTCGTTTTGGCTCCAACATTATGTATTATCTTCATTCATAACTTATCATTATTCCACACACCAAATCTAAGCCATTCCTTTGTACGTGATATTAAAGTCCATGCATCACTCACTTAAAACACAAGTCTAAAGTAAAATATATTTAAATACCCAACTTCCATATGCTTCAATATTAAAACATCTGGTCACATTCAACTAAATAACCAAGTTAATATTAACATCACTTAAGCTTATTAATACGACTGTTACTACCACATGTCCTCAACGGCAGAGTAGGCAGAAGAAGATGTTAAGATCTCAATGGTTGTGAAGGCATACGAAGGCTACAGCAGAACGATATCTAGAATTGTCTTGGTCTTCTACCCATTGGATTTATGGTCCCGTTCTGTCAAGATCTGTGTGGAAGCTGCTGTGGAACAGCTTCTCCACAATAAAATAATTCATGCACAGAGATCTTTCATGAAAGGAACAATATCTGCATAGCAAATTGACAGGGTGTTGGTGATGGCTCATCATCACCAACACCCTGTTCCGCCAAGAAAGGAGATACAAAACATCATGGCAACATCCGAAATCTAAGCAGAAGTGATCAGACCAGAAGAAGTGGTCAGAAACGGTTTTAATCGCCATGTAAGTTTGCACAAACAAGGAATTCACTATGGTGGGACGGTGCATACATTGAACAAGTAGGAATCTTAAGTTATATAAAAGGTATACACTCTAACTATACTAACGTTACAAAGTATAAGTAATACCAAAGGGCTAAAATCTTTAAAATTATGAATAAGTAGACCTTATAAAATGCGAATGTAAAATGTTAATTAGCCGTATTAAACAATCTTAAAATACAAAAATACAAATAAGATTACACGTTGTAAGTATGGAAAGGTGTAATTATGTAGATAAAATGTTATAGTAAGTGTAACAGTCATTTTAAGTGTAAAAGTCATTTTAAGCCCTTGGCCTTGTTGAGGAGGCCAACAGCGGATGGGAAAAAACTGTTTTTATGACGTGAGGTTTTGGTCTTGATGGACCGCAGCCTTCTGCCGGAGGGGAGTAGCTGGAACAGAGAGTATCCAGGGTGCGAGGAATCGTCCGCAATCTTCCTCGCTCGCTTCAGGGTCCTCAAAGTGTGCAGGTCCTCAAGGGTTGGTAGATTACAGCCAATCACCTTCTCAGCAGTGCGGATGATACGCTGCAGTCTGCTCTTGTCCTTGGCAGTTGCAGCAGCATACCAGACGGTGATGGAGGAGGTGAGGATGGACTGAATGATAGCTGTATAGAAGCACACCATCATTGTATTTGGCAGATTAAATTTCTTCAGCTGCCGTAGGAAGTACATTCTCTGTTGAGCTCTCTTGATAAGGGAGCTGATGTTCAGTTCCCACTTGAGGTCCTGGGAAAGAATAGTGCCCAGGAAGCGGAAGGACTCAACATTGGTGACTGGGGAGTCGCACAGGGTGATGGGGGTGAGTGGGGCTGTATTCTTCCTGAAGTCCACAACCATCTCCACTGTCTTAAGAGCATTGAGCTCTAAGTTGTTCTGGCTACACCAGGTCACCAGGTTGTCAGCTTCCCTCCTATAGTCAGACTCATCCCCATCAGAGATTAGCCCAATGAGGGTGGTGTCGTCCGCAAACTTCAAGAGTTTGACAGACTGGTGACTGGAGGTGCAGCTGTTGGTGTACAGGGTGAATAGCAGAGGGGAAAGGACGCAGCCCTGAGGAGATCCGGTGCTGATTGACCTGGCGGCAGAAACTTGTGATCCCAGTTTGACACACTCCTTCCTGTCAGACAGGAAGTCTGTGATCCATCTGCAGGTGGAGTCTGGCACGTTCAGCAGGGAGAGCTTGTCCTGAAGCAGGCTAGGAATGATGGTGTTAAAAGCCGAGCTAAAGTCCACAAACAGGATCCTAGCGTAGGATGCTGTGGAGTCCAGATGCTGTAGGATGAAGTGGAGGGCCATGTTAACTGCGTCATCCACAGACCTGTTGGCTCTGTAGGCAAACTGAAGGGGGTCCAGTAGAGGGTCTGTGATGGCTTTGAGGTGTGCCAGGACCAGGCGCTCAAAAGACTTCATTACCACGGAGGTAAGGGCGATGGGTCTGTAATCATTTAATCCTGTTGGCCTTGGCTTTTTGGGCACTGGAATGATGATGGAGGACTTGAGACAGGCTGGTACATGACATGTCTCCATGGAGGTGGTAAAGATGTTGGTGAACACTGGAGACAGCTGGTCCGCGCAGTGCCTGAGGGTGGCTGGAGAGACAGAGTCCGGCCCAGCTGCTTTGTGTGGGTTCTGCCTCTTGAAAAGTTTTTTTACTTCTCCCTCCTGAATGGAGATAGTTGTCTCTGTAGTGTGGGGTGGGATATGGGCCTCTTGGGTGGGAAGGGGTAGTTCAGGACAGTCCAATTGTCTTTCAAATCTGCAGTAGAACTCGTTCAGGTCGTTGGCTAGGCGGGAGTCGTTAGTGGTGTGGGGGGCTCTGGGCTTGTAGTTGGTGATCTGCCTGAGCCTTCTCCAGACAGAAGCAGAGTCGTTAGCAGAGAACTGGTGTTTTAGTCTCTCTGAGTACAGTCGTTTAGCCTCTCTCACCGCCTTGCTAAACCTGTTCTTCAACTCCTTGAATCTGTTTCTATCCCCACTCCTAAACGCTTCCTCCTTCTCCAACCTCAACCTTCTGAGCTTTGCTGAGAACCAGGGCTTGTTGTTGTTGAAGTTCAGTGACAGTATATCGATAATATCATTGTACCATGCCTAGGATCGCGAATATGTCTGCATCACCCAGGCTGTTCTAGCAACTGATGATTGCTGGACTGACCATCGACTCATCTGCTCAATTATATCCATAAAACTGGCTCACAAGTGACGGCTGCAGCACAAGAGATGCCTACAGAAGATCAATGTTGAAGGTCTCAATGACTCAATGAAGCAAGACCTCTTCCACCAATGCCTAAATGAAAAACTGTCAAGCTTTAATCACCACCTGTGGGAGAATGTTGGCAACGCTTGGGATGTCTATAAATCCACCATCATTGACACCTGAAAAGAGACACTTGAAGTCCCTATAAAAAAAGACTGATTTGATGAGAATGATCAGGAGTTCCAAGAGTTGATCGATCATGGGTGCAATTATTTTTATTCTTGACAAAACGATACCAATTCCAAGCAAAATACGTGGAATCACCAACAAGCAATGGCAGCGGTCCAGAGGAGGACCCACGATGTGAAAAACAGATGGTGGGAAGATAGGGAAAAAGAGATACAACATCTTGCCAACATCCATAATATGTGCGGCATTTTCAGTGACACCAAAAGCGCCTATGGTCCGAACACTCAGGGACCAACCCCCTAAGGACTAAGAATGGAGGAGATGTGATCAAGGCGAGGGAAGCTATTAACACTCGTTGAAATGAGCATTTTGAATATCTTCTCAATCGTGACTCGTTCATCGACGACAGTGTTTTCCGCTCCATCCCACAACATCCGATGAGAAATAAGCTTGGAACCCCCCCTACCCTTGATGAACTGATGAAAGCCATCAAGCAGATGAAGAACAATAGGGCATTTGGAGCGGATGGAATCCCTGCTGAAATCTTCAAATAAGGGGGAGCAGGTCGTTTGGAAATCCCAAACGACCTTAAAGATGCCATGATTGTGACCATCCATAAAAAGGAGATACCTACGATTGTGGAAATGACAGGGGGATTGCCTTGCTGTCCACTGCAGGAAAGATCATTGCAATAACTCTCCTGAACAGTCTTCTGCCACTTGCTGATGAACTCCTCCCGCAATCCCAACGTGAGTTGAGGCCATCAAGAGGCACAACTGACATGATCACCACTGCACATCAACTGCACGAAACATGTCAGGATTAACACAAACCTCCATAATAGAGTTTTTTGGGTTAGATTGCGTAAATGTATACGTGTCGTTAAACCCGCCACCACCCAACACAGCCAAGCAGTAAAGGTTGTCACGATAACAAAACATGCCAATTCGTCATTAGTACAGCACACCAGTGTGTTGGAGAGCCAAACCACAACATTTACAAACGGAGTACGACGTTTTACCAGTAATTACTAATAGCTTAATCAGGCGACAGCCAGATTTGTGGAGAAGTATTATTGTTTTGTTCCTTATATAGAGGTGTAAATGTGTTGACCACCGTTCTACGCTCTTGCACAATGTGGGGGTGGGGGGATGGGATTACTGAGGCAATGTACATTATGCATGTGCATTAAGCGAACCCTTTGAACTTGTCCTTCCTGTCTGTGTTTATTAAAATAGCCCTACCAACGGTAATCCCCCCCATGCGTGGAAGTGAATCATGAAATAATACATTATTGAAATGCATGCCTACAAAGGGCAACGTACTTCAATAGGGATTACCGTTGGTAGGGCTATTTTAATAAACTACACCTAACTATTGGCAAGCTTCAAGCAGGAGTGGAACTAAACTACCAAATGGTAGGCCGTTCAACATCAACCGACTTCGAACTAAAACGAAGACCATCCCGACAGCAGTTGTTGAGCTCCAGTATGCTGCTGATGATGCTGTTGTGTGTGCCCATTCAGCAGTGGATATTCAGTTAATCATCGCAACTTTTACTGAAGCATGTGAGAACATTATTATTTGGTTCTTTCGGTTAAGTCACGTCTAAAGATAAAATAATAAATTAAATTAAATGTGAGAACATGTTACTGACGCTTAATATTTTTAAGACTAACGTCCTCTATCAACCAGTTCTCAATGAGCAGTCCCCAACACAGACAATCTACATCCACCGTGAGAGTCTGGAAAATGTTGAGCATTTCCCATACCTCGGAAGCCTTCTTTCTCAGAATGCTGACATCGACAAAGAAATCCAAAATCGCCTGAAAGGTGGAAGTGCAGCTTTCGGTCGGCTAAGAAAATGGGTGTTTAAGGAACGTGGCATCAGGTCCAAAACCAAGATCATGGTTTATCAAGTAGTCGTAATATCTACCTCACTGTACAAAGCTGAGACATCAAATCATACAGGAGACATCTCAAAGCGAAAGAAAAGTACAATCAACGCTGTGTATGGAAGATCCTTAAAATAAGATTGGAAGACAGACATGCTAATATCAGTGCCCTCTGGCAAACAAACACCATGAGCATGGAGGCCATGATCATTCGACATCAGCTTTTCTGGTCAGGCCACGTCATCCATATGGCAAACTCCAGGCTCCCAATGAAAGTCTTCTAGTCCCAGCTTAGTCGAGGTGTGCGTTCAAGAGGTGGGCAGAGAAAGCGCTTGAAGGATGTCCTCTAGGCTAACATGAAGAAGTGCATCATCGACAGCAACTCATGGGAGACTCTTGCCCATGATCACCTCAGATGGAGACACAGTCTATTTCAAGGATCCAAACATTTTGAAATTCAATCGCAGAAACAGGAAGAGGGAAAAGCGGGGACGGCGTATATAGCAATGCTGCAGCCCGACTTACTAATTCAGTTCCACACACCACTCTTTCTGGACACGCGTGTGCCCAAGCTGCGGCAGAATATGTCGATCCCAGATTGGTATCTTCAGCCATCTTTGCACCCATAGATAATCCAACTTTTGTATGCCACACAATCATCCTCGATTGCGAGGGATAGCCTATGATAATGCTGATGAGTACCATATATAGTGAGGTCCTGCAATTTTCATATCAGGGCTCTATGACACATTCGACCACTAATGAGTTGTGACATAGCCAACATAGTCGCTTGTAGCTTAGTATCGACAAGGCTCGATTATTGTAACTCACTACACAGCGTTGTAATATGGTGGGGGGGGGGGGGTTGGAAGAGTTGCTGGTTTATTCAGGATGTTTCTGTTGCACGTCGTCGCTTTAAGATGTTCTCTGTTCATATTTTATTTGTTGCGGTTGCACCCGACTCAAGAGCCGCATGGCTCACAGGGCTATACCTAATAAATGAAACTTGAAACTTATAGGACGTATGGCAAAAAAACATTGCCAAGCTACAACGTGTACAAAACTCTTTGGCACGTGTCATGACTGGCCCTGCAAGATCCGACCATGTCCGTCCGGTGCTCGCTGAGCTGCATTGGCTTGCGGTTGCCAAACGAATGCATTATAAGGTCGCATTCATTACACACAAAGTGTTTGCCACAAATGAAACACAATACCTTGCTAATCTCGTGAAGGAGCATAAACCATCACGTGAACGTCGGCCATCCTCGCACCAGCGGCTTTGGGCTAACAGTCGAGCAAATACGATCATTGCATTGTGCAGTGCTTTCAGATGCGCTTCTGCAGCTGTCTGGGATGCTCTTCCTTCTGATATTAAGTAGCCACTGGAGCTATGCACTTTGAAATAATCTACATTGAAAATTCATTTCTTTAAAACTGTTTTTTTATTTTAGTTTTTTGTCCTACCCGACACCTCCAATTAGCATGGTTGGCTACGTACAATGCGAAAGAAGTTCAACATACGTATGCACATGAAACCCACTTACTAACATTCAGACAGACCAATTGCTCACTAATGTAGTATTTTCTCCTAAAACCCATAATTTTCATAACGCAAATTGGATATAACACAATGAATATGTTCAGGAAGACATTTTTTATAACGCAGATGCGAATTGGATATAATGCAAATGAGTAAACATGACTAGTTTAACACGCAGGCTTTCGCAACCAATATCATCCATGATACAGTTTTTTTTATTAAATTAGATCACGTAAATATACTGGCTGTGTCGGGTGGTGGCGGATTTAATGACACATATTTTTACGCGATTGAACCCAAAGAAACTTGTATTATGGAAAATATGCGGTCGTACAGCTGCCTCGGCGTAGCATCATCATCGCACAAGACATTGGGATACTACCCACTATGCGCCTCTCGGTCTGTGTTGAGCCTGTGTAGTGACATAAGAAGGGAGGGACTGTTGGGGGCTCTCGGACCCTGGGCGGCCCAGGCGCTTGGGCCCCTTGGCGCCGGGCGCTGGATTCCCAGGCGGCCCAGACGCTTAAGCCTCTTGGCGCCACCAACGGGGGGGGGGGGGCTGTGTGTGCTCTGTGGGATATCTGGGGGCGCACACGGCACACTGGACGATCAGGGCCAGTTGTAGCTCAAGACCCAAGACCCAAGACCAGCCATCTGAGAACCCTGGGACACTGTGAGGGCCAGTGGTGGGACTCTGGAACTCCTGGCTCTACGTCCTTGTGAGGGCGAGTTCCAGAGCGTAGCCAGAGTAGTGTATCTAGGCTGTGTACCTAGGCTGTGTAACTAGGCTGTAACAGGGTATCAGGACTGTTGGAGTGTTGGATTGTAATAAAGAAGTTACCTCTACATTACACCTGCATAACGCATCTCATGTGTTATCTCGGACTCTGCTTTTACTCCCTATTACATGTTATTTATTATAATGCGATTTTTCCATAACACGGTGCTCTTCAGGAACGCAACTACTGCTACCGCGTTACAGGAGACCACGACTGCGCTAGTTTAAATAACATCTGCCTTGTTCCCACATTGGAATGCAGGCATTCGGTGCAAAAGCCAAGGTGAGCTGAGCTGCAGGTCCACAAGGCTAGGCTACCAAGTCTGCGCGCGAACCTCTGTGGAGGCCGTGGAGGGCGGCTCGGCGATGCTGCCCTGCACCTTCTCGTACCCGGCTCACCTACCGCCCAGCAGAGTTTCCGTGTCCTGGAGGCCGGAAGGGTTTCACGAAGCCATCATGTTCCAGAGCGCTGATCCGTTTCTGGGAGAGAATTTCCTTGGGGACGGCGGCGGGGGCCGCGTCTCCCTTGCGGGAAACTTGAGCACACACAACGCGTCCATCTCGATCCGCGACCTCAGACTGGACGACTTCAAGGCGTACGTCTGCCAGCCGGTCATGTACTACGTGAACAAGGAGAATGTCTTTCAAGTGTCCGATCCAATCAAGCTGAAGTTGAAAGGTACATGTATTGTGCCAATAAGGGAAATAATGCTTTAGTTTATTAGTATGATTTTTATTTTAAGAACTGCTTCTTGGTGTTGTGTTGTCTGTCCCCATCACTCACTCACCCACTCACCCACCCACTAATCCCACGTGCACCTCCGATGAGCATGGTTGGTTATTACATACGGTGCGAAAGAAGTGCAACATACATAGAAAGACAAAGAGATCTCTAGTATAGCCTGAACAGACTGTTGGGGGCAAGTGCTGTTAGCGACCAACACATGAAGGCCGGCACAGCACACGAAGGGGGTGGGTGGCCAGCACCACGCCCCCTGACCACCTTTGTCTCCCCTAGTGGCAATGTTTTTACACATCACACCGGGTGCTCATTTTGAGGTTGAGTCGACCTCGGAGAGATCCAGGAACTGGTTCGGATAACCGTCACTACCGGTGCTAGCAGCCGTGAGTGGGACTCGAACTCGGATATCGTCATAAAAACGTGCTTAACCGCCATTCTGTGAGCTCCCCGCCGAGACACCAGAGCGCACTGTGACGCACCCGTGCCTCTCTCTAAGGAATCTATCCCCTCCTTCCTTCATGTCCACAGAGCACACCGAAATACCCGCAACCCCCGAGACAACGACGACGGCAGCTACATCATCAGCAGCACCATCTCCTGCCGCGACGACTCAATCCCCTCGAGTTTCACGCGCTCCCGTCCACTCCGTCGCCACCGCCGCCGCTGTGCTCGGTTGGGCGGCGCTCCTGGTGCTGGCGCTCGCATGGGGGAGACGTGCCGCGTGCACCAAGAGACGCCGGGCAAGAGGTGTGTGATACGATCGTCCCCCAACGTCCTGACAACAGTGGGTAGTAGAGTAGAGTCCATAATAGAGGTTTTTGGGTGAGATCGCCTACATATAAATGTGACATTAGACTCACCACCACCATACACAGAAGAAAATCCACAACATTTACAATTCGAGTACGACGTTTCACTAGTAATTACAACAACAACCAGCATCGTCAGGTGACGGACAGATTTGTAGAGAAATCCTCCTCCCGTTTTGGTCTTAAATAGACAGATAAATGTGATGCCGTCACCTGTAAGCCAATCAGGTGCGAAGGCCGGGGGTGGGGTGGTAATGTAAGGATATACATTACAATGGATATCCATTACCGGTTGGGTTATTCATAGGACAATCAACATGCATTATGCGTGCGCATTGTGCTTTAACATCCTGCCATTTATTTTAGTGCAAGAAATCGAAATTCCTGTTATTTTCTGCTCACAGTTATTCACCATAGACGTATGGCGACCTGTATAGACATGCAGTAAAAGTGTATTACTTCATGATTTCCTGCCAAGCAGCACTAAGCCTGTAGCTATCAGAACGGCAAAACTATTTTTCATTGACGTGACAAACCTTACTAATTGGGTTTGTCGGGTGGTGGCAGGTTTAGCGACACATTTATATTTATACGATCTAACCCAACACCTCTAGTATGGAAAATATTGGTCGTGAAAGCCTCCGTTTAAAACAGAGTAGAGTTCACGGGTCAGACTATAAACACACCTGTTTGATGGTCCAGTCCCTAATAGGTTCAGATGGTTGTGATTATGTAATGTCGGGCAAGTGCACACAAACTCCACCCTCCCTCAGCAGTTCGCTTGGGAGATCTTTCTCTGCCCGGCGCTTTTCCTGGTCTCAAGACTCTGGACCACCTTCCGTAACTTTCTCAACAGATGACACTTCAGCCAGTCATACGATATCACAAATACAACGTTCCCCCGTATAAACCTTAACAGACTGTTAGGGCAAGTGTTGTTAGCAAGCAGCACCTATGAAGACCTGAAAGGCACACGAGGGAGTGGGAGGCCAGCCTTTATCACCATAGTGGCGATGTTTACACACCACACCAGGTACTCATTTGAGGCTGAGTCGACCTAGAGGAGGCCCACGACCGGTTCAGATAATCGTCACTCGTGTTGACCGTGAGCAGGAATCGAACTCGGCCTTATTGGTTTGTTATGCAGCACAGTGCTAACCGCGACACCACCGCTCACCACTATACACACGCACACACCCACCCCAACACACACATGCTTACCAATACATCTCCCCAACACAGACACGTACTGCCAAATAGACAAAGATAAAATATCTCCAATAAAGGCTTTTAACAGACTATTAGTGAGCACCTATTTAAGACGGTCACGACACACAACACAAATCCCTTCTCACTCTGAAACATGTAGAGAAATTGCATACGTGGGCTCAAGTACACTCGCAATATATTTACAAGCAAAAATCACGTGAACATTACTTAAATAAAACATGAATGACACGTACAATATACAACTTAGCTAAACCACAGCCTGGGCGTTGATGGAAAGACAGATATGTTGCACAAGGACTTGTTGGTTTAACAGCAGAGGTGTTCCTCCAAATCAGTCGGGCAGCATTGTCTTTTCATCGGTTGTGTATTGCTGTGTGGAAGTGACCTGGTCTGTCGCTTCAAACGACGCTTCGGGTCTTCTCGGCCACTGTCATGCCTTCCCTTCTCTATGCTTGCAAAATATGGACCCCCTCTAATGGAACATCTTCGTCGGTTAGAAACATTCAGGCTGGCCTGCCTACGATTCATCTTGGGTTTAACCAAGCTGGTTTGTGCGAGGAGCTCACACATCCTTGAAAGATCTGGACACGGTCCCATCGGTGAGCTCCAGGCAAGGCTGCATTAGCTGGATCATGCAGCCCGCATGCCCAGCCACTGCATGCCCAAACAGCTTTTGTTCGGTCCAATAGAGGGGGCTAAACGGGAGTGACATGGCCTAGAGAAGAGATAGAATGGTGTGGTACAGGAGGATTTGGAGCTGAGTGGACTTGCCAATGACAGGTACCAGCGGAGTCAACATCGGCCTCTGTGGAGGAGGCTCATGAAGGACTTTACTGGGCAGTTGGATGCAGTCGCCCTCCAGCAACAATGGAGGGCAGAGGAGCGATGCTCACAATAATGAGCGGAGCACCGGGTGGCTAAAACATAGAAAGTAGGCATAGTGGGAGGCACATGTAATGCATTGACAAGGCACCTCAGTCAGTCAACCCACGGCACCACCTGGGTTTGTCCCATGACCTGCTGCCAGCGGGCGTTTGATACTCCACGTGGCCTTAACGTGCACATAGCCTGGCACAAGCGCGGCAGTGACGTCACCGCCACTTAAGTGGCAAATAGCGGCTGTTGTTGTCGTTGCACCAGGACCTTTATTTATTCGGGAATCCGGTAATCACTGTTCACTACGAGAAAGGAGTCTGCTACTAAATTTGAAGTCAGGGCGGCCTTACCATCACCACCACGATGCACAAAGTAGCTGCCTGGTGATTGTATTTCATTAATCACAACCAATCCCTCACTTTCCATGAGTGTAAGAACTGCTTTTTGTTGTATTTCGTTTGTTGTCCTTCCCTCCACACCTCTGATTAGCATGGTTGGTTAAGTACGGTGCAAAAGAAGTTCAACATACATACAAACTACTATTCACTATAACACTATAAGTACACTATACACTACACAAGTATATACTACTATACACTACACCACTATACTACAATGGCGAAGTTATGTAGTCCCGTTTGTTCAAACGAGCTTCTATTTGAATGGAAAAAGAGGGGGGGTTAAACGGTCATGGTATATATGATTAGAGTTTGTGGGGTGGACGTGGAAATTGAGTGAACATTTTCAACATCTACTATTATCAGGATTAACAAATGCGTAACTCACAGAGACTCACTTATCGAGATCCATACTAAAACGAAACTATTATTTTACCAGGTAAGGCCTCACTGAGCTACGTAGCTTGTTTTTTTAGAAGCGACCTGACCATCACAAACGATAGCTCAACGAAGAAATTGGCTTATCATCATCATGTGGAAATGTACAGTAGTAGCCAAATTATCTAAATTCATAGAGATGCATATAGAACCACATAGACCCAGAGACCCATGCTCATACCGAACTTTAGAGACCCACATAAACCCATACTCATAGAACCAGAGACCCATACTCATATAGAACCATAGAGACCCACAGAGACCCATATAGAACCATAGAGACCCATACTCATATAGAACAATAGAGATCCTCAAAAACCCACAGAGACCCATAGAATTAACTAAACTATTTATATTTTATCAAGTAAGGCCCCACTGAGCTCCGTTGCTTTTTTTCATGAGCGACCTGGCCATCACAAATGATAGCTCGAGAGAAGTGAGCTCATCACCACCACGTGGAATTGTTTAACAGCAGCCAAATGAAGACTCTACTTTGATAATGCATTGTCTTTGAGCTGTACGCATTTTGGCGTCCTCTGGTCTAGCACCAATTGAGACGAGGCTCAAAAGAAAGCCGTCTCTGGTGTGGACCAACCAGTTTCAAGGACAATGCATAAATTATCAGTGTGTTCTTTGTTTGCATTTTGACCACATGTATTGTGGTTAATGCAGACATGATTCCTTGTAAAAAGTTTTCAGTTTTATGGCCAGAAAAAAGGGGTAAAAACCAATTATTATATTTTGGCAATGGAGGTGTTATGATTTAAATGCGCGTTTATGTCTATCCCGCGTGTTTACCCACAAACTCCTCGCTGAGAATCGAGACTTGTTCAGGATGATCCAATTTGGATCACGAACAGTGGTGCTGCTGTTCGTTGATCCCAATCGTGATCTCCTCTACATTGCAGTAGACGTTGAATTATCCGTGGCCGTCCTCGCCATCATTTGCACGGAGAATCGAGCCCGCTGTATGTTGAACTTCTTCCACACCCTGTGTCACCAACAGCACTAATCGGAGGTGCAGGGAAGGACGACTAAACACAACAAGCAGTTCTAAAGAAGTTCGTTTTCAATCTCAATGATTTAAAAGGGCATAGCTCTAGTGGCTTCTTAATATCGCAAGAGCGTCCCAGACAGCCGCAGCAGCGCACTTGTGTAATGTAAGTCATGTGTATGTACATGGGGAGCGCTCGTGTTGCAGTTAGCGCGCCGTGCTACGAATCCGGCGACCCCGAGTTCGACTTCGCGCTCACGGCTACCAACACCAATGACGATTATCTGAACCGGTCCTGGACCTTCTTCCCTAGGTCGACTCAGCCTCAAATGAGTACCTGGTGATGTGAGTAAAAACACCACCACTAGGGGAGACAAAGGCGGCCGGGCTTGGTGCTGTTTCACCCATCCCCTCGTGTGCCAGTGCAGGCATTCATAGGCGCTGCTCGCTAACAGCAATGTTATGTATGCAATGTATGGAGGTAAGTAATGTACATTATGTGTGTAACACATGCAATGCATGTGTAGTGCTCGACTTGACACGACAGCTTCTTGCTTTTCTTTCTCTCTTTATTTCGCTAATATCGATCAACATTCCTCCAGCCAACACCAATCAACATCCCTCCCGCGCGCTCGCCGCTCGTTCGCCGCGTTCCACCGGCCTCGCTCGCTCCGCGTCTCTCCTCCGTCGACTCTCCTCTCCAGTCTCTCCGTCACAGTTCAGCTGCTCTTTATCGGCTCTCCCATCACACTCAGCCGTATCACTATCGGCTTCTCCGCCACTCTCCAGCCACTTCCTGCTCGCTTTTCCCTTGCTACCCTATACTTCTCCACTGCTACCCTATACTTCTCCACTGCTACCTTATACCTCTCCACTGCTACCCTATACTTCTCTACTGCTTCTGGCTCCGCTGGTTCAGCTCCAACATCCTTCTTCTCCTCCCAGGCACGAACTCCCGTCTCCAAAAAACCTCTCTCTTTATCCCCAAGCCAATTAAACTCCAATTAATCGGTGGCATCCCCCGCGACGCCCATCGCCCCCTAGCCCCCGCTGGCACCTACTATGTTTTCCCAGACAATGCGGCGCCACTTAGCGACAACAACAACTTCCGGCCAATCAGCGCCTGCGTCCTAATCAACCCCTATCACCTGTTACTGTCCTCAGACAGCGTGGCATCACATTTGGACAATAACAACTCCCAGCCAATCAGCGCCCTGTGTCCTTAATCGCCCCCTAACCGTCTCTGGCCTTCTCCTCACGCCTAGCGACAATAACAACCTCGACCTCGTTTGCTCTCACTGTACTCTGCACGCGCGTACACCCACACCCGCGTGTGGCGCGTATTTCAGGCACTACACATGTATGGAATGTGTGTAATATTTTGCATGTAATAACATGCTTTCCTCCCCATTCTACGCCATGCTGGCAAAGATGCACAACAGGATATCGGTGGTGATGACAACAACTGCACTACTGGTAACTACAACGTTGCCTTCATACTCAAAACTTTACACTAGACTATTTGTTTTTATTTTACCAGGTGTAAGGCCTACCATTGAGCTGTGAAGCTTCTTTTTTTATTACACGTTTTATTTAACTCACTTTGTCTGTTGTTGTTGTCGTATCCTCAAATCTTGTAACTCAATTTTAACCCACTTCCCAATGTGGTATCGACTGCAAACGTGGTATACTTATGTCATACTGATGAAAATACTATATTTTATCAAAAAAATTAAAAGTATTTTTAAACATTATTTTTATATGTTATGTTTCGGCTTGGGTCTAATTGTCCACGCTCAACTGACGTTGGCTGTATTGGCTGTAGATCACCACGGCCCCTTACGTTATGGCAAGCTTTGCGGCCACTTCCTGGCGTCGTGGAGTTCTGCCATTACTAGTAGGGTACATTTCATTAAAGCGTGTTTTTTTTAAGTATTTTTAAATATTACTTATTCAGAAGCGACCTGGCCATCACAAATAATAGCTGATCAACGAAGGGGGCTGATAATCATCATCATCATCACATGTAAATATATAGCGGCAGTCAAATACTCTATAAACGCGTGACGTCGATTCTAAATGTGGAGGGAAAAGAAACCTCACGACCACCACGGGGTGGGGGGTGGGAAGAGACACAAAGTCCAAATATACAGCAGCAGGGATCGAACCCACGACCTCCTGTATACCAGGCCAGAGTTGTTAACTTCTCCCTAGGCACTGTGACATTCCAAGTGAGCTTACTGCGAAAAATTATTCGGTTGGCATCTGCAGGATTTGAATGCGAGTGGAGTGATTGATTGGCTTTGCCGTCACAATCGAGCGGCTGTCACAGGAAATTAGTGACAATGGCATGGAATACAAAAAAATGAGGCTCCTAAATTCACGAAAAATCCCATTGGTTCTCATCCAAGGGAGACAGTGTGATGGCAACGTCCGGTTAAATCAGAATATGTATTTAGACTGAAGGAGGAATCCGATGAGCTATGAAGCTCTTCTTCACAGACGCACAGGAGGGGCACGAGGTCAGGACGTTACAACAGCAAACACAATGCACATAGACACGATGGGATTGCAAAGTATCGGCAAGGTAAACAAATCACAATATTTCCATACACAACTACAACCAAACCTTTTTTTATTTTACCAGGTAAAGCCCATTCAGCTATTATCTTATTTTGTCAGAAGCGACCTGGCCACAAATGATAGCTCAACGAAGTGGCTCATCATCATTTGGAAATGTATAGGAGACAAATATTCTAAACGCACGTTTCTAATTGTCGAGGGAAAAACCGGAGGGACCCGGAGTAAACATCCACGCGACCACGGGGAGGGAGACATGCAGCCTCCAAATATACAGCAGGCATCCGGGTCGTGATCGAACCCCCGAAGATAACATCTCGCCACCGCAGCGCCCTTTCAATAAATAAATACAAATGTAGTGTCTTTTAAAATTACTCACACCGACACGTTGTAGTAAGTCACCTGTTATCACTTTAATCAGCTATTCTTGCACCAGTTGTAGGCACTCCCAATAACTATCTATATGGTCACTTATGTTGAACTTCTCCCCACTCTTATCTACCGTCCACCTCACTTATCCTGCACTCGTCAGTTCTGCTCTCAGAGACTCCGCACACAGCGTCTTTGCACACAGTGTCTCCGCACACAGCGTCTCCGCACATAGCGTCTCCGCACACAGCGTCTCTACACACAGCGTCTTCGCACACAGCAACTCTACATCTCCACCGCTGCCCTCACCTACGCTCCCGCAGACCCGCTCACCCATCTGTCCCAGGCGGGGGGATCAGCCAACACCCGCCCGGCGACGGCGTGAGGGTTGAGGTCCCGTTGATGGCTGCAGCGGCAACGGCGAGATGTCTTCACTCCTTGACCCCAGCAACAACTCCCCCCTCCGATCACGCACACACCCTTTTATTTCCCTCTGCTAATTATCCGAAACCTCTCGTGCATCTCTTTAAGCTCTCGCCAGGCCGGCGCCTGTTAGCCCATCAATCAACCCTCATCTCCCGTCTCTCTGACAACACCTCCGGTCTCAACGTGCACTACCGGTCGACCCCGTTTGCACCTGCTTCGCCCCTTAACAACTGGCGGTTAAAATTTCGATTTAAAGCTTTCGTGACTGCAGGGATTCATACAGTGATACCTCGGTTCACGAACGCTTCGGTTCACGAACAACTCGGTTCACGAACAGAAAATTTCATAAAAATATGCTCCGGTTCACTGTACTTACTGTATTGTACAGTTCACCCGTTTGAGTGCTTACTGTACTGGACTCCCAAACAATAACCGCCTCCCACCCGCCTCCCACCTGCCTTCCTCCATGCCAGAAGTCATCTCAAGCAAGGTTAGTGTTCTCTCTTTATACATTACTATACTGTACAGTACTACAGTAATGTGTATTGTCATTTGTTTCATATTTTTGTGCTTCAAAAACCAAAAAAAAAGGTCAGAACGGATTAACCGGATTTACATTGAACCCTATGGGAAAATGTGCCTCGGTTCACGACCAATTCGGTTCACGACCAGAGTCAATTCACGAATTAAGTTCGTGAACCGAGGTATCACTGTATTCTTGGTTCTTTCGGTAAATTCACGTAGAAGGGAAATAATAAAATAATATAAATATTAAACAATAAAAAAAGTAACCGGCGGTTTGTCCGTGCAACCTCATGTTGCACACACGCACCCGTTTGCCCTCAGTTACCCTCGGTTAACTGTGCGCACTGCGTATTTCACTCCTCTACACAAATGTAAGTATATATTAGTTCAAATTGCATGAATGAAATGCAGACAGATCTCGTGAACACACGAGGCTGTGAGCTCTGTAGACCAATCATTGATCATAGATTTAATTGCCTTGACAGATCTTGGTTCTCTCCGTCTTTCGTGGCGAGATGTTAAATACCTCGCCTGGTATACAGGAGGTAATGGGTTCGATCCCGAAATGGCACCTGTTGAATATTTGGAGTCCGTGTCTCTCTCTCTCTCCCTGTAGTCGCGTGGATTTTTCTCCGGGTCCACAAGTCTTTTCCCTCCACATTTAGAATCAACGTCACCACGCGGCTAGAGAGTATTTGGAAGGCTGCTATCCATTTCAACACGATGATGATAAGCCCACTTTATTGAGCTATCGTAGCCAAGTCGCTTGTGAAAAAGAGCTACACAGCCTCAGTGGGCTTTGTGTGTGCAATGAGCGGCGAAGGAGATCTGAACCGATCCAACTGCCCCCGCCTCGCACTAAGCCCTGAACTCCCCACGATCAATATGACAGACCGTGTGTGTGTAATGTTTTTTACTTCATGTCGACCCCTCCAGACCCTGCAACGTACGCAGAATACGAGGTGGAGTGTGCCAAGTTCGTAAGTCACACAACGCCACTGTGGACAGTAAACCCAACATTCTTCACATACACACACAGGTCGATGGTCTATCAACACAGACCGTCCTATCTATATAAATAAAATCGCGAATCTGTCTGTCTATCTGTCTGTCTGTGTGTCTGTGTGTCTCCGGACCATACGCACTTTCATTGGACGCCGGTTGCCCCTGCCAACGGCTAGCGATGCCTTCGCCGCTTTCATTGGACCTGGCAACGGCTAGCGACGCCTTCGCCAAGGGCTGCACTTTCATTGGACGGCGGTTGCCCCTGCCAACGGCTAGCCACGCCTTCGCCACTTTCATAGGCTCCGTAATTAATTAAATAATAGCCATTACACAGTATTGTTGGAGCGCTGAGGGGGGGGAAGGAACGCCACCCGTACCCTGCCTCTGCCTGGTGCCCAATTTTGGCGAGGCCGCAGGCTCTGCACGCTACTAGGCCTCGACACCCACCACGCCACTCTGAGGTAAATTCATCAAAGTTTTTCGTACTCTTCACTCCACCCCCACCACAATGTGTGCAATTAATATTACTTTTAAACCCAACGCGCCAACAATCGATTACTTAAATGTTCACTGTACAAATAGTCATTAAGCTGGGTCAGCGTACTGGCAGTCTATCCTGTAGACTGTAGCCTGCTTATTAAGCTCGGTGAGCGTACTGCCACTCTATCATGTACACTCTAGCCTGCTTATGAAGCTGAGTGCGTGTACTGGCAGTCTATAATGTGGACTGTTGCCTGCTTATTATAATCGATTCTTTATATGTTCTTTGTACAAATAGTCATTAAGCTGGTTGAGCGCCCCCAGTTCGATTCCAACTCACGCCCACCACCGCTGACGATTCTTTGAAACGGACCTGGGCCTCCCCTAAGTCGACTCAGCCTCAAACGCGTAACTCCTGTCGTGTGTGAACATCGTCACTGGGGAGACAAAGGCGGCCGGCCATCGTGGATCCAAGTCCCGGGCGAAGCCAGGTCATGTCTATGTGTGTATGTGTTTATGTGTATGTCTGTGTGTCTGTATGTATGTGTGTATGTATGTGTGTGTATGTGTTTGTGTGTATGTGTGTGTGTATGTATGTGCGTTTTTTTGTATGTCTTTATGTGTGTCTGCGTGTCTGTATGTATGTGTGTATGTACGCGTGTGCATGTGTTTGTGTGTATGTATGTGTGTGTCTATGTATGTGTGTATGTGTTTCTGTGTATGTATGTGTGTGTATGTATGTGACTTATGTGTGTGTCTGTGTGTCTGCATGTATGTGTGTGTGTATTGTGTATGTGTTTGTATGTCTTTGTGTGTTTACGCTCGCATTACACAAATGTGTTGCAGGTCTAAGGCGTTCCTTGCGCAGCATTGCCGCTCCCTGAAAGTCGTGTGTCTGCAGCAAGCGCGTGTATGTGTACCTATGGACGCGCGCGCGTGTGTTGTGTAGGGGGAACGGTAGTGTAGTGCTTAGCGTGCTGTCTGTGTCTGTGTGTGTGTGTCTGTGTGTGTGCGTGTGTGGTGTGTGGGGAGCGGTAGTGTACTGCTTAGCGTGCTGTCTGTGTGTCTGTGTGTGTGTGTCTGTCTGTGTGTGTCTGCGTGTGTCTGTGTGTGTGTCTGTGTGTGTGTCTGTGCGTGTGTGGTGTGTGAGGATCGGTGGGTGTAGTGCTTAACGCTACGCTGCGCTACCAACCCGGCGAACCCAGTTCGATTCCCGCTCACGGCCACCACCGGTGACCATTATTTGAACCTCCCCTAGGTCGACTCTGCTTCAAACGAGTAACTGCTGTGGCGTATTAACATCGCCACTGGGGAGACAAAGGCGGCCGGCCGTGGTGGATACAAGTCCCGGGCAAAGCCGGGTAGTACAGCTAGTCTCCTAATTACAATTCTTTAGAACTGCTTCCTGTTGCTGTGTTTATTTGTTCTTCCCCCCGCACCTGCGATTAGCGCGGTTGGCTACGTACAGTGAAAAAGAAGTTCAACATAAGGACACATGTCCAGCTGAAAAAAGAAGCAGTAACGCAATATCCTTGTTTCCAATAACGAATGGATTTGTTTTTTTTTATGAAATGTTATAGTTTGGAGGCAAAAGTAAAATTGGAGTACCATGGTGGACGGATGTTAACTATCTCGCCTCGTATACAGGAGGTTGTGTGTTTAATCCCTACCCTGACACCTGCTGTATATTTGGAGTTTGCATTTCTCGTTCTCCCCATTGTCGCGAGGATTTTTCTCCGGGTCCTCTGTTTTTCCCCCTCCACATTTAGAATCAACGTCACGCGTTTAGAGTATTTGGCTGCTGCTATGAATTTCCACACGATGGCGATAAGCCCACTTCGTTGAGCTAGAATTTGTGATTGCCAGGTCGCTTTTGAAAAATAGCTACATAGCTCAGTGGAGTCTTACACCCGGTAAAATTAAAAATAGTTTAGCATCCTGTATCCACTTCTTGTCTGTTAGCAGGATGTTGAGGGGGTCTACAGTGACTGCAAGGAGCATTGCAACAACATCTACGATCGTCTGGAAGAGGCACAAGACTCAACGTTCGTGACCACAGCTGGAGGGGATAAGCGTGGCGTGGAGTGAGGATATTGAGCCGATCAGAGGCCAGTAATCCCCCTATGGTCTTTGCACACCTGATAGGCTCATCACAGTGATGGCATCACCTTTACTCCCTCTATTCTTCATAATTATGAAAAATCGCGTGAAGATGGTTGTTGCTGTAATCACCAGCGAAACGTCACGGTACTCGAATTGTAAATGTTGTGGGTGTGTTTAACACGCAGGCTTTCGCGACCAATATCATCCATGAGAGTTTTTTTTAGGTTAGATCGTGTAAATATATAAATGTGTCGTTAAACCCGCCACCATCCGACACAGCCAACTAGTAAGGGTTGTCACGTAAATAGAACATGCCAATTCGTCACTAGTACAGCAGACCAGTGTGTTGGAGAGCCAAGCCGCAACATTTACAATCTGAGTACGACGTTTCGCCAGTAATTACACGTAGAAGGGAAGTAATAAAATAATAAAAATAAAACATAATAAAATAATTTTCACGACGTTTCGGCCACAACGCAAGCAGCCGTCCTCAGGTGGAGAACAGGTCCGTCAAGTAGACAGAGTCTGAATGTCACGCTCCAGGCTTGGAGCGACTATTTATGCTTAGAGTCGCGTAGAAGGGAAGTAATAAAATAATAAAAATTAAACATAATAAAATATTTTTATTATTTTATTACTTCCCTTCTACGTGACTTTACCGAAAGAACCAAGAAGATGAATCCCTGCAGTCACGATTATTTTATTAACTTCCCTTCTACGTGACTTTACCGAAAGAACCAAGAAGATGAATCCCTGCAGTCACGAAAGCTTTAAATCGAAATTTAACCGCCTCTACGGGGAGGGATTCCACATAACTTTGAGATCCTTCAACAAGCTCCGTGATAAGAAGGCTCAGCTAATCGAGTCTCTCACCTTTCTGAAGAGATGCCGCGACTCTAAGCATAAATAGTCGCTCCAAGCCTGGAGCGTGACATTCAGACTCTGTCTACTTGACGGACCTGTTATCCACCTGAGGACGGCTGCTTGCGTTGTGGCCGAAACGTCGTGAGAATTATTTTATTATGTTTTATTTTTATTATTTTATTACTTCCCTTCTACGTGACTTTACCGAAAGAACCAAGAAGATACAACTACCTTCTTTAGGCGACAGCCAGATTTATGGAGAAGTCCACCTGTTTCGTTCTTTATATAGAGGCGTAGATGTGGTGACCACGCTTCTGTGCTCTTACGCAAAGTGTGGGGGGAGGGGTAGGATTAATGCGTCAATTCACATTATGCATACGCATTATGCGAGCCCTTTGAGCTTGTCCTTCTTGTCCATTGTGTGTATTAAAATAACCGTGCCAACGGTAATCCCTATTGAAGTATGGTGACCTGTATAGGCATGCATTTAAACAATGTTTTTTTCATCATTTGCTTCCACATGATGAAGCTAGTTGTAATTACTGGCGTAACGTCGTACTCAGATTGTAAATGTTGTGGCTTGGTTCTCCAACACACCGGTGTGCTGTGCTAGTAACGAATTGGCACGTTCTGTTCACGTGACAACCCTTACTAGTTGGCTGTGTCGGGTGGTGGTGGGTTTAACGACATTCATATATTTACACGATCTAACCCAAAAAAACTCTTATGTTGTGTGTTTACTCTCCAACACACAACCGGTGTGCTAAAGTAGTGACAACACATCTGCAGTACTCAAGATTGAAGTCGTAACTAATTGCCCACATTTTGTTTTCCTGATAAACCTTACTAATTGACTGTTGGGTGGTGGCGTGTTTAATGACAGATTTTTATATTTCCGCAATCTAACCCAAAAAACTTATATTATGGGTAAAATTGGTGGCGAAAGCCTTTGTGTTACATCTTCCCTTCCTAAAATGCAACAATCCACACCTCATCACCTTACGTGAGCCGATGCTATCGCCTCATTGCCATGAACTATATCTCAGCTATGTCATCATGTGGCTACCTCCATCGTTAGCCGCAACATCCAGCCATCATCTCTTCCAGCAATGTGTTCTGCCTGAGACCAAGTTACATTCTTTGGAAAATCATTATGATGTCTAACTGGTAGATATCTCTGGGACCCAACATACACATCCTTTGATACTTGCATTGCCTTTGTACTGTTAACCTTTTGGCGTTCTCTGGTCTAACACCGGTGTCACGTCGCCATTAAACCAAAGTAATTTTACGGTAGCTGACGCATGGCTTAGGTGTCGAGGGTTGACTTGCAAGGCACTCATCAGAGACATGAGCTTAGGGATGTCAGCGTTTATTTGATGAGGCACGCTGCCATCAGTATCTTAATGAGTCGCGGTAAATTACAGCAACAACACCAGTCTGTTGCTGCTAGCCACACACACACTCACACACCCACTCACACACACTCACACCTACAGTACTCCTAAGGCTTTCCCGAGACTCACACTGAAACTTAGGCAAAGGATTGCACCTCCGGGATATGGGTGCGACATATTGTTTATACAAGGTCCATACTCTTCCAGTTGAAACCTGCACAAATACGCGTTACGTACTGCCCAGTACGCCTCCTCAGGGTTTTCCCACACTACCCTCTCACTATGGGCAATTTGTGCCACAAGCTTCTCCATTCTGCAACAAGGTAAATACCGTGTCCCTCATACACTGGCGAGATATACACCGCCTGCTCCAGTGTTATGACTGAGTCACTCTACTGACTTATGCACATGGCACTATCACGCTCCTTGCGTGGCCATGTCGCTTCTCATTCATTCACCGAAGCTCCCCACACTCCCTTGAACAGTTGTTCATGTGCAACAGAGAGGTAGCCAAGGGGACAACAACAGAGGGCAATAGTCTCAACGCTGTGCCAGTGCCAAGCTGCATTTGTCTTGTTTCCCAGCTTCTGCCGCCCTTGTCATGCACTTGCTCAGTCTCAGCACAGTCCCACCTTGCCCTGGTTCGCTCCCCAGGTTAAACGAGTGACGATCACCCGGCCCTCGTGTAACTGCTTGAGATGGCGGTAGCTCGACCAGCTTCTGCTGCATAGTAATCCAGGCTACCCTAATTATTCACTGGGTGATACTTTGATAGTCTCAGCTCTCATTCTATTGGTTAGCCACTTGGCCGATCACAGGAGACCTCAGACGATAAAAGGTCTCCAATTCCCTGTGGCTGCTCCTGACTCCACACAAAAGACTGCGCCCAAAGATACGAATCTCTCTCTCGCCACACCTTAATAGGTATGCTTAGCCCACTACGCCACAAGCAGTAATGAGACAAGGCCAAAAAGATTGCTGTCTCTGGTGTAGGCCAATCCGTTTCAAAGACGATGCATACATGATTATCAGACAATGTTTATTGGCATGTTTTGCCACAAGTATGTGTGGTTAATGCATACTTTATTCCTTGCAAAAGGTATTGGTGCTTGAACATCTTAAAACAACTCCTGTTTTATTATTTCCAGATAGGGTATTGAAGCCTATATCTTTTTTTGTAACTGGCAGATATTTAGTAATCTAGGTGTGTCTCTTCTTACCTCATTGTTTCTTCAAAGCATGCATCGCTTAATGTTTATCTTTCACATTTGACCTTTTATTCAATTTTATATCATTTGTTGTAACATTCTGACTCCGTGCCCCTAATGAACATCTGTCGAGGAATAAAAACGCTTTATAGCTCATCGGATTTCTCCTGCAAGATATATACAGATTCTGATTTGTTAATCCGTGGGTAAAATATTGAACGTTTAATTAAATTGATACATTATTCAATAAACTACAGACGCACTGAATAATTTACAGGCACTGGAAAGCAATTATGATTGTTTAAGCAGACAAGTCTTTCAAGGCATGAATAGTTAAAAAATGAACACCGTGCACTGGATGCGTCGTCGGGCCAAGCAAAAGCGATGTAAAGTTTATAACAAAAGCGGTCTGAAAAAAATAGGCAATTAATAATAAAACATGGTTACAGCTTATAGAGTGCCTTTCATGCAATCTAAAGGAGCTTCACATCAATGACGTGTTGACATAAAAGACGCACGTGACACAACCGCGATCCCAGAAAGGCGTCAAGTGAAAGTGTAATAATTGTTGCGCAACACTGAGAATGACAACGGCGAGTAGTCTGTTCTCATATAACACGGCAGTAGGAGTTGCATTCCTGAAGAACACCGCGTTATAGAAAAATCGCGTTTTCATAATATATAAGAAAGGGAGTAACGGACAGTCCATGATAACACGTGCGTAACACAGGGCTGAACAAAGATTTAGAGTTGCCTGGTGGGTAGCATCTCGAAGAATCATCCAGCAGCATCCCAATGCCTTGTGCGATGATGATGATGCTACACCGAGGCAGCCACACGACCGCTTATTCCTACTCGTTTACGACGAAGTTCTGTTTGCTCGATCGCATTATATCCAATTCGCATCGGCCTTACAAAAATATGTTCCCCTAATTACATTCATCACATTATATATCCATTTTGCATTATGAAAACACGAGGTGTTATAGAAGAAGAGACTGTGCTTCAGTGAGCAGAGAGACCTACAACGGGCCATCCTTAAGTGATAGAAAGGAGTTCACTCGGGCGTACATTGGGATCTTAACGCTTGCCCGTTCCGAGACACAAGGTGGGTGGTGTCCCATTCACCGCCGAATCCCGGAACGGCACAAGAGGTTCTCAGTGATCATTCTATTTTGAGAAAGGTGTAATAGAAGCAGTGTTGTTTTTAAAGACGTTACTCGCCAAAGAGAACCATAGCGACACGACCACTGCCACTTGAAGATACAGTGAGGGAAAAAAGTATTTGATCCCCTGCTGATTTTGTACGTTTGCACACTGACAAAGAAATGATCAGTCTATAATTGTAATGGTAGGTTTATTTGAACAGTGAAAGACAGAATAACAACAACAAAATCCATAAAAACGCATGTCAAAAATGTTATAAATTGATTTGCATTTTAATGAGGGAAATAAGTATTTGACCCCCTCTCAATCAAAAAGATTTATCTTAAAGAGAGTGCTCCTAATCTCAGCTTGTTACCTGTATAAAAGACACATGTTCACAGAAGCAATCAATCAATCAGATTCCAAACTCTCCACCATGGCCAAGACCAAAGAGCTCTCCAAGGATGTCAGGGACAAGATAGGACAGCAAGTTCGACTCATCACCAACTGTTTATATTTGTTACGATGGTATTGTTGCCGATCTATTAACGTGGTTATTGTCTAGGTGATCCAGTTTCTTTCCACTTGGAAAAACTCATTAATTAGCTGAACATATATTGTAATAAAAACCTAATTAAAAATGTTCTATGACTC